TTCATGGCAAGTCCTCACGACCAATGAAACTGAGGGTCAATCCCTCCCAATGATGTGCAAACAGCAACCAAGTCTCAACTATAACAGGACACACACAAGCCATACAGGGACACACCTGGAACACCTGGCTCTAGTGACCACGGAGACTGGACCACTGGGCCCCACAGGACACCTACTACATAAGGCCACTCTACTAAGACCGGGAGATACAGCAGACCTACCTAATATATAGAAACAAACACTGGGAGGCAGCCAAAATGGGAAGACAAAGCAACATGTTCCAAATAACAGAACAAAGGTCCAGAAAAAGAACTAAACAAAATGGAGACAAGCGATCTAACAGACACAGAACGCAAAAACAGTGGTTATAAAGATGCTCAATGATCTCAGGGAGGACTTCAACAAAGATAGGAAATATAAAAATGGAGATAGAAAACAAAAAAAGAACCAGCCAGAAATAAAGAATATAGTAACTGAAACGAAGACTACATTAGAGGGATTCAACAGATTAGATGAAACAGAGGATCGAATCAGCAATTTAGAAGATAAGGTGGCATGAAACACCCAATCAGAACAGCAAAAAGAAAAAAATAATCCAAAAAAATGAGGATAGGTTAAGAGACCTCTGGGACAAGGTCAAGTGTAAAAACATTCACATCATAGGGGTATCAGAAGAGAGAAAACAAGGGACTGAGAACCTATTTGAAGAAATAATGACTGAAAACTTTTCTAACTTGGTGAAGGAAATAGACATACAAATCCAGAAAGCACAGAGTCCCAAACAAGATGAATCCAAACGGGCCCACACCTAGACACATCAAAATTAAAATGCCAAAGGTTAAAGACAAAGAGAGAATCTTCAAAGCAGCAAGAGAAAAGCAGTGAGTTACCTACAAGGGAGCTACTATACGACTGTTGGTGATTTCTCAATAGAAACTGCAGGCCAGGAGGGATTGGCAGGAAATATTCAGTGATGAAAAGTAATGACCTACAACCAAGATTCCTTTACACAGCAAAGCTATCATTTAGAATTGAAGAACAGATAGCGAGCTTTCCAGACAAGAAAAGGCTAAAGGAGTTCATCACCAACAAACCAGAATTGCAAGGGATTTTAGACGGACTTAGATGAAAAAAAAAAATAACAAGATAAAAAATATGAATAGTAATAACTACATATCAACAATTACTTTAAATGTAAACAGATTAAATGCTCCAATCAAAAGACATAGGGTGGCTGAATGAGTAAGAAAACAAGATCCATACATATGCTACCTACAAGGCTCACTTCAGATCAAGACACACACAGACAGAAAGTAAAAGGATGGAAAGAGTTCATGGAAATGGGGGTGGGGTTGGGGAGGGGGAAGCTGGGATAGCGATACTTATACCAGACAAAAATTGACTTTAAAACAACTGCTAAGAGGCAAAGAACCCAGTAAATCCCACTTCAGGGTAATTATCCAAAGAAACCCAAAACGCTGCTTCAGGGGACTTCTGCATCCTTATGTTCATTACAACATTGTTTACAGTGGCCAAGATGTGCAGGCAGCCTGGGTGTCCATTAATGGATGAATGGATAAAGAGAAGGTGGTACATATATACAATGGAATATTGCTGGGCCATGGATGGGAATGGGTTTTCACCATCTGCAGCATCATGGGTGGACCTGGAGGGTATTGTGTTGAGTGGAGAATGTCAGAGAAAGGCAGATGCAATGTGATTTCACTTATATGTGGAATCTAAAGAACAAAATAAACAAACATAACAGAAACAAACTCAGTGAACATTTAGTTGGTTGCCAGACGGGAGGGGGTTGGGAATGGGTAAAAGGGAATTAAAAAGTTCGACTTGGTTGTTACAAAGTAGTCATGGGGATGTAAGGTATAGCATAAGGAATCTAGTCAATAATATTGTAAACACTATGTGTGGTGTCAGATGGATAAGATTTATTGGGGTGACAGATGGGAAACGGGTTGGGGGGCAGGGTAAAAAAGGTGAAGGGATTAAGCACAAATTAGTAGTTAGAAAATAGTCACAGGGATGTAAAGCATAGGGAATATAGTCAGTAACATGGTAATAACTGTATAGTGCCAGGTGGGTGCTAGTCAGGGGGAATCACTTCTTAAATTATATAAATGTATAACCACTATGCTGTATATCTGAAATTAATATAAAATAATACTGAATGTGAATTGTTGAAAAATTATAAAGCGGGTAAACTTTCAGGTATAAAACAAATAAGTCATGGGGATGTAACATACTGCAAGGGGAATATGGTTGATAACCTGTGACAGTATTGTAGTGTTAGATGGTTGCTGGACTTATGGTGATCACTTCTTTAGATAAACAAATGTTGAATAACTATTGTGTATACCTGAAACTAATATAATATTGTATGTTAGCTATATTTCAATAAAAATCTAAAAAAAAAAAAAGGAAATGCCAATAACCACCAACATGGTTTTATTTGTCGCTGATAACATGCACAACACTGCAATTATATCATTACTTTGTTTGGTTTCCTTAAATATTACTTAATATGCATTAAAAATATATGTTTACATTTAAGAAGTGTAACATATTAAAAGAAGTCCTCTGTAAACATACCTCCTTCTCAATATATTTTCCTGCTTTCATACATAAATAACTTAATCTACCAAGTCATAATAAAACTATTAACTCTTAAGGCCTAAAAGTATATACAATTTTGGAGCTTGACAAGTGTTCTCTTTGATTTTATAAATAACAACATGTAGTATTTGTAGCATTTATCCAATAAATGACTTATTATCACAAGTTCTTAATGTCTCCCAACCAGTTCTCTCAATAGGTCTTCCAGTGCACCTGGTAAATAAAGATGCATGCATTTAAAATGTTAAAATGGTCAAAAGACTGTATTTTTAAAACAGTACAGTAGGTTGCCATTTAAATATTACTAAGCCTCACTAAAATCACTTGTTTGTCTGAAGAACAAAAAAATGCTGCTAAAGAGTAAATACTTGTATTATCATTTAAATGGAAGGTAGCAAAGTCTAAATAAAACCAGATTAAATTTGTATTAGTCTTGGGAAAAATATTCCATTGAGTTTCTCTTACAAAAACAGAATCAATACTATCCTAAATTTTCTAAAATTTATTTTGAACAAAACTTTGGTAAAAATGGTCTTAGAAAGACATTACGGAACATCTGATTATTTAGTTTTTGTTTAATGACTGGAAATCTTTATTCCTTCAGAAAACAGTAACTTATTTGTTAAATGAGATCTCCCATTTAGTGATTAGCCATTAGTTATCTATTTAGTTACTAGATAACCACTCAAGATATAGTAGGTAAGCACTCAAATTATTTTTATGTAATAAAAATAAAGAAATTTATTTTTTTTGCGTGTTGAAAATGCTTCATTATGCATTATTTTTAGGCCATCATTTTCAGAGTATAAAGCCAAAAGAAAACCATTCTCAATTAATTCTCATTAAATTTAAATGATTCAAATGATAAATAATACTAAGCTAAGGACCAAAGTTTCTAAAAGTTTTATTTTTTAATCAATACAAGACTGATCTGGTTCATATTAACTGCCAGACAAACTTTGTTTAAAAAACTAAATATTCTTTGTTAAAGGGCAAATTACAACAAATGCTTTTTGTGTCTTTAAAAACAAACAAAAAAACTACATTCTGATATACATAATGAACCTAAATCAAAATTCAGAACTGGTGGCTGAAATACTGTCAGCTTTCAGCCCAATACAATATAAATCCAGTTACTTTGCATTAACAATTCAAAATTAAGGTTTATAATGAAAATGTCAACAAGTCAGAGCTACATTACTACTGATAGGTTCCACTATGCTTCATCCAGGCAACAGCAGATGTGCACATCTGACAGACTGCTTAGAAAATTAAAGCTATCAGAGTTATAAATAAGGAATACATAAATATGAGCATTTCAATGCCAAAGCATTAGAACTGTTTTAAAAAGATGTGACGTAAACACATCTGATAGTTCTCTCTGTAAGCCACTTTTCATTGATTTATAAAGCTATGGTTCTAGAATTCTTTAAAAAGGAAAAGTGTTTCTTCTACACTGCTGCATGCAGTAATTTCTTTGTACATTCTTGACTACAATGCGGTCTTCAAATCCTCTTGCAGAGCTTGACATCTCATCAGGATCTCACCAGAAAGTCAGCTTGTCATATTTTCAGCCGCCTAGAACAAGAAAGTAAGATTCATTATAATCAAACCATGGAAAAAGAGACACCATAGAAATAAATTTGTCAATAACACACTGATTAATAACTCCTCCTTCCCCACATGTGCTAAACCACTTTTATCAGGATAATGCAGTGCTTTTTACTTTCTGTAGGACATTAAACTACCCTTTGAACTGACTGGTAGGCTAACAGTAAAAAACTGTTATTTAATTTTAAATAATAGTGTAAGAATATACTGCTACTTGAAAAATTAACCTACAGAGGACCTTATCAAGTCAGTCTTTATTTATTAGCCTGTTTCTGCATGTTTCATTATAGTGTGAAAACGGAATTAAGATGGAAAAATACCTTTCTGTTATGTTATAAACTGGACAAAAAAGGGCAAAAGAATAACAAACACATGGCTAATCCTACTTCACCTATACCACTAACGATTACACTTCCCCTGATTATTCTAATTAACATTTCTTCTTTGTTAGAAACTTTTTGGGATTTCCTCCTACCTAGTTTTAATGAGATAATGGTAAGCTGGTTTTAGATTAAAGAAGAAATGCATTTTAAGAGTCTTTATGCATGAGGCTTACCCTTCCATTCAGATGGGCAATAATTTCTGATTTTTGTTCCACTTAATTATTGGTTTTGCCTTCATGTAAGACTATAATTCACTGGATGTGAGATAGTATACGCAAAACTGAAAAAGTCATGTTATTTAGGAAGTTCTGAATCTCTTATCCTAACAGCTTAAATTTTAGTTTGTCTATGAAAATGCTAGGGCAAAATGCTTCTCTGTCAGTCTCTCTTCCACATTCTTTTCAGCTCGGCTATTTCGTCAGGTTCCTTTACAGCACTCAAACTGCAATGCCATACAAAAATCTCTACCTGGAAGCAACCTAATATCCATTTACAGTAAAAAGGATAACTAAGTTATAGTATATTTGTACAATGAAACATAATTATTACAGTGAAAAGGAATATATTACAGCTACACACAACATAAATGAACCTCACAAACATAATGTTAAATGAAACCCAGTAAAAAAAACTGTGCTATAAGATTCCATTTATATCAAGTTCAAAAATTTTACAAAATTAAACTGCAGTGTTTAGAGATCCATGCTTAGTTAAGAAAGCATACCATAAAATCAGAACAGTAGTTCCAGGAGGGGTAAGCAGGAAGAAGTCAGCGATGCGGGGAGCATAAGGGGGCTTCTAGGGTGCTGGCAGTGAGCTGTATGGACATTCTCCTTATAATAAATGTTTGCTCTGTAAATGTTTTATTTACCTTTTTGTGTTATTTTTAATAATCATAAAGTTTTAAAAAGCACAAAACCAACAACCCAAATCACTGGAACTTACTGGAGATGGGTTAGCTACATGTTTTATATAACTCTATTTCCTCAAGAAATAAAGGCTAGAGAGAAGCCACTTAGTCCTCAGAAGTTTTAAGCAGGACTGACTTGAAGTTTTGGTATTTACGGTAAGTTAGTGCTACATAAACATGAAAATAAAATCACCCGAGATTTTAAATCAGGCTGTGTGCAAGCAAGAAAGGAAACAATTCCTGTTCCCAGTCTCAGCAATTACAAGGGGCTGAGTTTAAATCTTACAAAAAGGTGGTCCTCTGGGCCCATGCTGATAGCACAGCCCAAATGTCCTCAGCAGTTCCCTGGTCTCTGAGCCAGAGTCATTCTACCCCTACCCTCATTTTTTTTTCTTTTTGGTTTTGTTTTGAATTTGTACAAGAGCTAATCTGAGCCAAACTGACAGCATATGCTGGAGAGCAAGATCTCACAAGCTCCCAAATCTTCCCCTTTTCTTAAATGAGAAATTCATGTTGACAGCCAGGGAGTTCTTTCCTGTCTGTGGACCCCGCGAAGTCTGACAGCCCCCCTTCATTTTGTACCGTACAGGTACCTCAGTCCAAGCTGGCAGTGTTTTGGGCTGGGGTGGTTGGCTGCATCTGTAAGTCACACACCTAACTAATCTCTTCCCCAGCCACACATCTGGCCTTCTGTCCAGTGTGCTATCTGGGTAGGCTGAGAGTTTTCCAAAGCAAGTGCTGGTTTCTTTCTGCTCACCAGCTCCTTACTCAATCTCATTCCTCTTACATTTTACTAGAAGCAGCAAGGAGAAATCAGGCTGCACTATCAACACTTGGAAATAGCCTTAGCTAACTATCTAAGTACGTCGCTTCCAAGTTTTATTTTCCTTCCAAACAGTGTGACACAATTCAGCCAAGTGCTCCGTCACTTTAGAGCAAGGCTGGCCTTTCATTCAGTGTCCAGTGACATGCTCATTTCCATCTGACACTTCACTCCAAGTACCTTTAACGTCCATATTTCTAGCAAGATTCTATTCATAACATGTATCCTCCAAGATGGCTGAATCTTTCTCTATAGCTCTCCTCTGTCTGAGCCCTCACCAGAATCGCCTTTAATGCCCATAGTTCTACCAACAGTCTCTGTAAGACATCTAGGCTTTTTCTATCAAATGCATTAAAACCTCCCAATCTCTATTAATTGCCCAATTCCAAAGCCACTGCTGTATTTGTATTTCTTACAGCAGCACTCCACTTCCCAGCAGTAAATCGGGATATTTCTAAGGCTGCCATAACAAGTATCATAAACTGGATGGCTTAGAACAGAAATCTATTCTCGCACAGTTCTGGAGGCGGAAGTCCAAAATGAAGGTGTCAGCAGGGCCAGCCGCTCTCTCAAGGCTCAGGCAGAGGATCCTTGCTGGCTTCCTCCTCGCTTCTGGTGGCTGCTGACACCCTTGGCCTTCTTTGGCTTACAGATGCCATCACTCCCACCTCTGCCTCTTTCATCGCCTGGCACGCTCCCCTGTGCCTGTGTCTTCACATGGTACTCTCTCTATGTGTCTAAATTTCCTTTGTCTTATAAAGACATCAGTCATTAAACCCATTATGATCTCATCTTAATTTGATTACACCTGTAGGTACACTATTTCCAAATAAGGTCATATTTACAGGTTAACAGGCTTGAGCATATCTTATTTGGGGCAGACACAATTTTACCTACCATACAAGGAAAATTCTAAACACAGCTGGAGACTTCTGGGCAAAACACAACACAGCCCACGACAGTAGCAATTTTTGTGATCTGATTATATGCTACTAGGCTCCTGGTCTTCAGATTTTCTTCTGATGATGATAAAAGCTACTTTAATCATGTTTAGGGTCTTTCACATAAGGTCATCAATAATCATTATGTAGAATGAACTAGCATCTTTATTTAGAATGAACTAACACCCAAATCTCTACCTTTAGTGCTTCACTGGCCTTGCGAAGTTCCTTAATAACCGATGATAAAGCTTCTGGGTTAATTCCTTGTTCACAAAGCCGTACACAAATAGACAGAGTCTCCATATCTAAGCCAGTATTCAAAATCCTTGAAATCTCAAGCAGAACTGAAAAAAGAGAAAATTTTTTAAAAAATCTTGCATTTCAAAATATTCACACAATACTTTTGTTTTTAATTCACATAACACTGCAAATACCAAAGAACTAGCACAGCATCTTTATATTTGGAAAGAGGCATGTAATGTCTTACCCTTACTTAAGCTCTAGAAACTTCAAAAAAACTTGTAATCTTTCTCCACACAACTGCTTTGTACATCTTAGTTTTTTGTTCTACCACTCATTTAATATCTATCTAAAATTTATATATCACAATCAGGATTTTTCTGAACATTTTCCCACTTTTTAGTATTCTTTTACAACATAATTTAGTCAGTCACATAATATTCCATTTCATTGAAACACCATATATTACCTAACCACTTTTAAGAGTTTTTAAGAGTTCGGTGGATCTCATGTTTCCCCATTAAAATAATACTGTGATAAGCATCTGCATATACTAATTTTATTTTATTAGAATAAATCCCTAGAAGTGGAACTGCTCAGTCAGTAATATACATGTTTAAGGCTTTAAAAATATTTAAAAACTTACAATTTGACAGAGTAATCATGTTTGTTGACTAATAATAAAAATGAAAGCTTATATTTTACTTCATTTTTACACTACTTCATTTTATTATAGTTTATAAAAGTTATCTTTCACATGACAAGCACTAGCATTGAGAATTACAGGATATAAATACATTGGCTACATTAAACTTTGTTATATGGCAGCTGTTTCCCAGTGTGTTTAGAATTGCTTAAGTCATTGGTCAACGTGTTATCTGCTTTTCCTGTATCATTTTTCCCTTGGCATTATGCTTATAAAGCTACCCCCCATGCAAGGATTATGTAATTATTCAACAGCATTCTCTTTCAGCGTTTGAAAGTTAATTTCCCTCCCTTCATAAATATTTAACTGCCTGCAGGTTGGGTGGAAAACAGAATCTCTAACTTTTCCTTCCAAAAATAAGTCAGTTACCCAACGCTTTTTACTGAATGATTTATCCTTTTACCACTCTATTCAGATGCCACCTTTATCACGAAGTAACTTCTCATATACCTATGGATTTGTTGCATGTGTATCTTGAGCCAGAGACACAATTTTAATTATATTAAATTTCTTTTGCACGTAGTGGGTTAAAAATACCTTTGTTACTTTTATTATCAAAAGCCCTTTCATTCTCTCCATGAACATAAAAATATTGATCAATTTCAAAAACAAATTCTATTTGAGTTCTGATTTGAATTGCATAAAAACTACGTATTATTTTGGGATAAATCGACAAGTTAACAATATTAAGTCATCCATTAATATAAGTCCTCCCAAAAACTTTTATAGTATTCATGATGTTCATAAGATGGGACTTTCCCAATTTTTCATATCTGACATTCATTTTCATCTCCAGAAGTTCAATTTGAGTCTTTTACAAAATATATACCTTCCATGCCTCTGCTTAACTTTTGAACATATTGGGTACAATTCTAGTCTTTGTCAGCTAATTCTTAACAACTGTGGCAATTTTGGGTCTGTTTCAGCTGACTTGAATTTTTCTCATCATGAGTCGCACTTCCTGCTTTGCCTACCTAATAATTTTTGATTGGATGCAAGACACTGTGAATTTTATTTTGTTGGGTGCTGGGTAGTTCTCTATTTTTTACATATTCTTGAGCTTTGTAACGAGGTACAGTTATCTGCAAACAGTTCGATCCTTTTGGGTCTTTTAAGATTTATAAGTCAGGAGTAGAACCCTGTTTAAGATAGGGCTAATTATTCCCCATCACTGAGGTAAGAACCTTCTAAGTACTCTACTGAATATCTCACGAATTAGGAAGTTTTCCATTCTGGTTAGTAGATACAGACACTATTCTCAGTCCTCTGCGAGCATGGTTCCCTCTAATCCTTTCAGATGGTTCTTTCCCCAGCTTTTTGGATACTTTCCTCGCACACATGGTGCTATTCAATGCTCTGCTGAATATTTGAGGGAGGCCATTCTGCAGACCTCCAGAATTCCAAGTGTAGCTTTCCTCTCAGGTACTCTTGTCCTGAAACCTGCTATGGTCTCTTCTGGACTCTAAGCTCCTTTTGCTCAATTCAGGGTGTCCACTGGGTGCTGTCTGGGTTCCTCCCCTCCTCCCACTGCACTGTGGTCTGGAAACTCTGAAGGCAGTAAGCTGGGACAACCACCTGGCTCACTTCATTTGCTTCCTTTCTCTCAGGGATCGCTGTCCTTTGCTGTCTGATGTAGTGTCTTGAAAATCATTGTTCTGCACATTTTGCCTGAGTTTTGTTGGTTGTTTCAGGTAGGAGAGTTAACCCAGTCTCTGTCATTTTATCTTAGCTAGAAGGTGACAGCCCTCTCCATTTTCATTTCTTCAGTTCTGATACTCCAACATGCTTCTGATACTCCAACTTTGCTCAGCAGTTTGAATGTAGGCTGTTATTCATGCTCTCTGCTGAATTTATTCCAATAACGCTAAGATTTCTAATTTCCCACCATAATCACTTATCTTGTTTCATAGCTAATTGTTTATTTATAACCACTTCTTATTTTGTTTCTACCTTTATCTATTTGAGGCTCTATTCTTTTCTTAAGCCATTTCTGAGGTTTCTGTTTCAAGTACAAGCAAGCAGCAAAAGCAGTGATTTAAGAGTGTGTTCTCCAGAGCTCAACCTAGGTTGAAATTTACTTTCATTACTTAGTAGGCAAGGTAACCTCTCTGCGCTTTTATTTCAGCATTCTGTAAAATGGGGAAAATCACAGTACTTGTAACATTGATGTGAGGATTAAAGGAGAGAGTTAGAACCGTGTTTAGCATACGGTAGCGCTCATAGAGTTAGCTATCACTTCTGCTATTTTTTTCATTTTTCATGTTAGTTGTTTATGTTTTTCATCTACCTTAGGTACTTTGTGACTTAGGCTGAAAGCTCATCTTCCATTTGAGATTTTTCTTGGATGACCTGGATTGGCGATGTGTTCTTAGATGGGTAGTATCACACTGGTCTTAATTCTCTCGATCAGGTTTTGTAGAAGCATCCTGGCTCCAGACACACAAGACACATGGTCGGTGTTTCTCAATTCCTTGCCGTGGCAGATGGCACATTTCTGGCCCCAGCTCCACTCAGACAGGGTGGCATGCTTCTGTCAGGTTCCACTCCCAGGTCCCTGCTATGATTTCGATCTGCTCCTTTCTTTGGGGAGAACCTCTTTTCTTTCTAATCAATGGAGGTTTCCCTTTCCTGTTTTTAAACATGGATATGCTGATAATTGTATTTTAATATTACTTCTTGTTATTCTTATACATTTAGAGCAGAAAGTTTCAGTCAGTGCTCAATTATCATCGATTTTGATAGTGAATCATCAATTTCTTTAATTTTTAGTTTTGGTTGTTTTCATAAAGGGATTCTACCACATTCTTGCATATTCTAACTGATTAGTGCTGATACTCTAAAAAATCACTTATTTTTATTTTGTAGTCAGCCACCTTAACAAATTCTACTGAAGCTTGTGACAGTTTTCAGTTGATTCTCTTGTGCTTTCTAGTCATTTCACCTACAAATAACTGTTTTGTGTCCTTTTCGATTGTCTTTTTATTTTCTTATCTTGCTCTATTTCCTAAACTTTTCAGATAAATGGTTTTTTAAAAAAGCAGTGAAAGCAGGTACAGTAAAACCTTGGATTGCGAGTAACTTGTTCTGCAAGACGAGCCAACATTTCTAATAAATTTTAACTTAATAAATGAGCGATGTCTTGCAATACAAGTAGTACATGACGCCAAACATCACACGATCACAACTGAGCCAATGGTGCTTCTCTCTCTCTCGCTGTGCAATTGTGGGTGATCATCTCCCCTGCTTGGAGGTTATGGAGGCGATCTTGTAGAGGAGGAGAAAAAGGTGAAGGAATCCCTCACTTCAAATGAGATTAGGGAGATGTGTAAAATGTGGGAAACAGTGCAAAATTTTGCAGAAAAGCACCATCCGAATAAGGCTGTAGCAGTGTGAGCGATGAATCTGTTTAACGACAATGCAATGTCACATTTCCGTGAAATCCTCAAAAGGAGGCAAAAGCAAGTGTCATTGGATAGGTTCCTTGTTAAAGTTGCACGAAAAGAAAAAGGTTCCATTGAGCCAACAGATAGCAGTGATTCCGTTAGTGACAGTGACAGTCGTCCAACACAATAACCCTCCTCTCTCGGCTCCCTCACACCAGCCACGACGGTTTTCAAAGGTAAGTGCAGGTTAATTTGTTTATTTTTCTTTATATTTTGTATTTTCTTTATTAATTTGTATTACAGTATTGTAATGATTTTTATATGAATATTTTTGGGTTGTGGAACAAATCATCTGCGTTTCCATTATTTCTTATGGGGAAATCCGCTTTGATATACAAGTGCTTTGGATTACAAGCATGATTCCAGAACAAATTATGCTCACAAACCAAGGTTTTAGTATATTTCTAATTTTATTTAGAATGAATTAACATTAATATTAAAGGTCATATTGGTTTCATATAGCTATCCTTTAGCATGTTAAAAATATACTGTTTTCTTTTGCTAAGACTTTAAAATCAGGAAAAAATGTTGACATCATCTTATCAGTACCTTTTCATCAACCACTCAAATGACCAGGTAGCTTTTCTTCTTTGACTTAGTGAGGTAGCATATGATATTGACAAACCATATCCACAGCTGAACAACACAGAGCTTGGGAAATCCCTCCTTTTACAGGGAGTGGTTGGCAAGCCTGCTCTTGATCTGGAGGTAGATGCTACCTCATCTCTCACTGCTACTCACTGTAAGCACAACCCTGAGAGACAGCAGGAGGAAGAGCAGCCAGCGTTTTGTATTCTCGGCAAACAGACCAAGAATGTATAGGTACGCTCAGGGCTCAAAGAAGACTGTGTCTCCCAACAGTGACACCGCGTGACTTCTGAAGCTAGGTTAAAAAATGTAATACAGCTTCTCTCTTGCGACACTCGACCTTGGAACCCAGCCTCCAAGTAAGGAAACCCACATGTTCCAGTCCCTAATGAGAAGCCAGCTAGTAGTCTGCATCGATTAATAGTTATGTGAGTGAGGAAGCTTTGAGATGACTCCAGACTCAGCACTAACTGCAATGCATGAGATACACTCAGTGCAACTACCTAGAAAAGCCTGGTCAACACCCAGAACTATGAGAGATAAGTAATTTTTGTTGTTTTATACCACAAGTTTGGGGCGGTTTGTTACGCAGCAACAGATAACCAGAACACATATTTCTGACCCTATTCCAACTCTCTAACATCATCATCGTCGTCATCATTAACAGTTCCTGACAAATTCTCCTCTCCAGTTTTTTCTTCATGGTAGACCATTATCTATAAATGCTATTCTTATTCCTAACTTCATGTCTTTATTCATGGTTTTTCTCCTCTGCCTTTTCTCTTCCCTCCATATAATTCCACCTCAGTATTTGTATTCCTTTAAGTTTTCTTTTACAATTCACACTGATCATTACTTTCTAACTTTACCAACTGTCTGTAATCAATAAGTATTTCTGTAGTGTCTACTGTGTATCTATATGTACGAGGCCTGACAATTAAGTTCACAAACTTGCCAATAGGTGCTTACACTGGCAGCGCTGTACAAACAGCTCAGTAAGGTTTCATAACCTTGGTACATCAGTGTCTCACAGCTGTGTTCATGTCAACGTGTGGCGGTGTCTTGCTGAGTAGCGTTCATTATTGTTGTTGCGTGTTTTGTGTGCTGTGGTAAGAAGGTCTGAGCCTGAATTAGAGTAATGAACTTTAAATTTCTTGTTAAACTTGGCAAGAGTGGAAGTGAAATCAGGGACATGTTAGTCCAAGTTTATGGGGACTATGCCATGAAGAAAACAGTAGTGTACATACAAATGGATTAAACATTTTTCTGAGGGAAGAGAACGCATCACTAATGAAGAGAGGTCAGGGCGGCCAGTAACGAGCAAAACTGATGAAAACATTGTAAAAATTCGTCAAATTGTGTGTCAAAATTGTCAGTTGGCTGTGAGAAGCATAGCAGACTAAGTAAACATTGGTAGAAAAACAGTTAGGAAAATCTTAACTGAAAATCTTGGCATGAGAAAGGTGTGTACAAAAATGGTCCTGAAGAAGCTCACTGAAGAACAAAAGCAAAGTTGTTGAAATTTGCCAAGACCTTTTGGAGAGGCAAGACGATGTTTTGGGCTTTGTTATCACTGGTGATGAAACATGGGTGTACCAACCTGACCCTGAAACAAACTGTCAAAGTGCACAGTGGAAGTCAGCCAATTTTTCACAACCAAAAAACTTCCATCAGTCCAAATCAAGAGTCAAAATGATTGTTGCTAGCCTTTTATGAATATCAGAGGGATTAAAATTATGAATTTGTACCAACTGGATAAACAGAAAACCAAGTTTACTATTTGGAAGTGCCGAAAAGGCTGCATGAAAAAGTTATATGAAAACGACCTGAACTTTCTCCAACAATTCATGGCTCTTGCATCACGACAATGCACCAGCTTACACGGCACTGTCTGTGAGGGAGTTTTTAGCCAGTAAACAAATAACTGTATTGGAACACCCTCCCTACTCACCTGATCTGGCTCCCAATGACTACTTCTTTTACCCAAAGATAAAGGAAATATTAAAAGAAAGACATTTTGATGACATTCAGAACATCAAGGGTAATTTGACGACAGCTCTGATGGCCATTCCAGAAAGAGTTCCAAAATTGCCTTGAAAGGTGGACTAGGTGCTGGCATCAGTGCATAGCTTCCCAAGGGGAGTACTTCGAAGGTGAACGTAGTGATATTCAGCAATGAGGTATGTAGCACTTTTTCTAGGATGAGTTCATGAACTTAATTGTCAGAGCTTACATGAGATAAGGGAGACACAAAAAGTCCTAGTCAAGATTTTAGAACTTTAGGGAGCTATCAGAAGGTGTAAAACAGGACTGTGACAAGATCAGACTTTCATTTTTAAAAGACATTTGTTGCATAATATGGGGTGGAACTTGGATGGGGATAAGAGAACACATGGAGAGAGTCTAGCTAAGTTATTGAAAGACTGGTGGATGGCATTGACAGGAGAGGTTACGACAAGTAATCAAAACTGAGATCAGTGAAGGACTGAGAGGGCTTAGTGAAGAATAGGAGTGAGGGAAGGTGAGAGAAAGCAAGACTGACTCCCATGCTTCTTTCTCACAAAAGTAACTATATTGATGGTGGTAGCATGGACTATACGTTTGTTTCAAACACTACCTTACACGCTGTGGAGTCTCTTAATTTCTTTTGCTAGCTAACCACCTGATATATATTGTAGTGTTACACTGAAGCCTCTAGTAAGGAAGAGGTACATTTTTACCCTAATTATCAAAAATGTAATTACTGGTAGTAAAAAGTTAGAACATAAGGAAAATTCTAGAATGTAAAAAAATAAGACTTAATGCACGAAGCTATTGATAAAGTATCTGAAATTTCAAAACATTGAAAAGCAAAAGAGACAACTGAATACATTGGAGACAGAGAGAGGTAGTTGAAGGGGCCTGACATTTTAAAAAGGGAATGTAGGAAGAGAATGTTGAAGATCTAAGACAGAGAGAGTAGATGATCTTATGCGATAGACCTTATACTAAATCAGGGCTAGGATCAATTAGGTTCTTTTCAGACTGGTATGTGCAGATAAATAACAAAGTCCACTGCTTCCTCCCGTCTGAAGTGTCTACTAAAATCCTTTCATTTCACAACAATATTACAAATATTTATAGCTGAGTTCTAGAATTCTTGCAAACCACTAACATTCATTAAAAGATTAAATCACTGTTAGCTGACTAATACAGATAGGAGGGAGGTAATAAAAGGATAAAGAGAAATACTCTAATCTTGAAGGAAGGTAGTCAGGATCAAAAATCTCTAAACATTAGTTCGACTCTCATGTACAGATTAAATACAAAGGAAACTCATCATTAGAATTACAACTAATAATGATGTTTCAGTAGTGAGCCAAGCCCCTTGGGCATGCTAAAGTTTTATTTCTGGGAATGAGGGCGGAGGAAGGTGGGATAATGAAATGATTGCATTTAGGACTTTTTCAGTTCAGTGTATGGTCAATTATTTACACGCAAGTATCACTATGTTTCCCTTTGCACCTCAACCATTACAGACCACGTGGAAAATATTTCAACGTTTTTCACTGACAGCAATAATTCAACTTCACATTTTACTGTGACTGACTGTGTTGGATGGACCCAATTATGGCACAAGAGCAGGGATTTTATCTAAGTTTAGAGTTCTAATGGACAAGACAGTATCTGTCACACTTAACAAATGTTAATCCATTGCCAACCTGGGTCTTTCTTTTTACCTTCTGGTTTATGGACAAACCATATGTAAAGGAGCAGTGTGCTCTAATCCACACCTTCTCTCCTCCAATTTAAAAAAAAAAAAAGTCTTTTTTTACTTTTTCATGTTCTTACACTCTCTGTAATCTTCATTTTACACAAAGGTCTCCTAGTAAAAATCTTGATGCAACCATTACAAACTATCAGTTCTCATGTCTACATCAATAGTTCCACCGCAGATAAAATGGATGTGTTCTATTCAAATGGGATCCTGTGGCCATATGACTAAGGAACCTATGCACAGATAATACAGCTGTAATACATCAAGGATGGGATAATAGGCCGAATCTGGTGTTAAGAACAAAATTCTATTTTTCAGAAAAATTAAAGGGAGATACTTGGTAAATAAAAAACGAGCTGCAAAGGCTCTAATAATAAAAGTAATTCTTTGAAAAGGAAAGCTGCAGCTAGTTCAGAAAAAGCCAGAAGTCTTGTCGGAAGTCCCATTAGGGAGATGTATTAGCGAAGGAGGCAGATGCAGCATGAAGGCTGACACTGCTTAGTGAGAATTTCAGAGGGTATGTTTTCAGAGAGATAGAGGCCGGTGTGGGTATCCTCTGGAAAACGCAGAAACCAGCGTTTAACATCCATCAAACTCTCTTATATAGATGGATGCGAAGAATAAAATGGAGACCAAAAAAAAGGAGTTTGCAAGGGGGATGACATCTTATATTACACACAAAAAATACAGTATCTTTTAATGATCACCTTCGACATACCTTTACCTGGTTATCTTATTTAAATACGGTATAACCTTAGGCGGTAACCTCATTTTACAGGGAAAAAGAAGCAGGCTCAAAGACGTTTAAGAGTAGCGTGTCCAAGCTCACCACCAGAGGTCTAAAGCGGGGAACGCGCATCAGAGGGGAGAGAGAGGTTTAACTCCCAAGACACTTATTTCGTCTTCTACAGCTTGTGTGCGCTTCAACTTGCATGCCTCGGGGCGCGAAAACAGATTAGTATACCCAGGGCGCCGGGACACCCGCTCCAAGTCGAAAGGGGCAATTCTGATGAAGGGGCGACTTGTTCATTACCGAATATTTTAGAAGCGCCTACTAGAGTGTCAAGGACAAAAAAGGAGCAATGGCCAAACAGGGCCACTGTCCGCACGGGGCTTACAGTCTTGAGGGCGGTACAGTCTGGCGCCCCGCTCTGGACTTAAGAGGAATGGGCGTCCCGCACTGGACCACCGCGCGGGGTCGAAAACGGAAGGGGCTCCGTGGGGAGGGCGCGGCGCACGAGGCTGGCTTCCAAGCGAAGGATGGGAGGACGCGGCACGGGAGAGGGGCGTGGCGGCTGGGAGGGAGCGTGGGATGCGCGCCCGTGGTGGGCCGCGCGCCGCCGGGCTGACGTGGGGGTCGGAACGCCGTGCACGCGACAAACTACGCAGAAGCGAAGAGACAACTCTCCAAGGATGAGGCCACCAGCCCTGTGGCCCTGGCGGATCCCCGGGAAGGCTCTCCAAAGATGCCGTTCGGGGCAGGAAGTGGACCGAAAGCCCTCCTGGGCTCGCCTCCGTCTGGGAGCCTTGGCTCTGGGAAACGGAAGCAAGATAAAAGGGGCGAAACGGGCACTCACCGTCCATGGTCTCTCTCACCGCATTCAGATTCGTCGCCGCTGCCGCCGCCGCCGCCGCCCCTGAACCGCTACTACTCGCCATGGCGGAGGCCGAGAGAGGCGGGAGAAGGGCCTGACCCGGAACTGGAGCGCCTTCCTTTCTCCTGGGCAATCACACCGCGCGTCCCCTGCTCACGCCGGGCAGGCTCCGCCCCTCGCGCTCGTCGCCAGCGTGAGGCTGCGTTGATTTGAATTTGGAGCTTCGTTACTCAGCGCGGAATGTGAAGCGTGGAGTTGCCATTCGAATTTACTAGGCCGCCTCGATGCGATTGGCTGGTTCGCGAACAGCGGTGCGACGCGATTGGCCAATTGTCCACAAGCCCCGTGCCCTGGTTGGCCTAATACAGCGCGGAAGCGGGGAGTTAAAGAGTCTGCCTGTCGTGGGAGCTGTCCTGGCCTCTCCGGAGCGCCCTGGAGTCGTCTTTGGGTGGCTTCCTTTTTTTTTTGCACACTACTAGGTATGTTCTTTGTAGTTCCTGGCTTTTTCTCCTTCTCAAATTGGAAAGCTCACTTTTCCCGGTCCCGGACCCGCCTGCTGGCTCGCCCCATGGTGAATGGGAGCAGCCAGAGAGCGTGTCCCGAAGAGAGGGACACCAAGAATGAGTGATCGAGCAAGGTGGGGGTGACACCAACGTGAATGTCCTCCACTGCTCTTCACCCAAGGAATCCAGCTGCACTTCAGTCTTCCAAGAGTGTGTTCTTCTTTTTCTCTAATTGTAACCTGCTTTGACTTGGAGCAATGCAGTACCGCCTTCTACCTTGGGGGTTTTAGCAAAAGGAGGATGTTTGAGAGGCAACCAAAGGCCGTTTATTTCCTATCCTTAATCAGTAATACTTCTTTGACGGGGGCAAATTTGCAAGAAAGGCACTTGTGCACAAGCTTCCTCTTCTCTTACTTGTTCATCTCTTGCTTGCTGTAAATAATTGTTGTTTAGTAACCGTAGCTTGATAGGGAATTGCTGGGATATCCAAAGGATGTTTAAAGTGTTTAGAGACTTGACATAATGAATTAAAAACTGCAGGTATAAGTCCTGGAGTTGAAAGGAATTTTGATCCGATTGTAACATATAGTTGCCTCGAAAGTGGACCTGAACTCATTTCCATTTGGTTGACTGTTTATAAGCCACTTCTCTGAGCTTGTTAATTCTGCAGGATGATATCACTGATACCCTGCCTCTCTAGCTTTCAAGGTTGTTTCAAAGATCACTTGAGAAAATGTATGTGATGCTTTTTTGTGAACTATATAAAAAAAAATTCCAAAAGCATTAGGTTTTGAGTTAATTTTTGTGAAATGTCTCTTGAAATCATTTTACTTGTCAAAATGAATGTCTATGGAGCTTTGTAGTTTTATTGTATATACTTCTGATTTCTTTTTAGTTTTTGCTCTGTGCTATGGGAGATGTCAGAGAACCAAAAATGCAAATAACACCGGAAACTCCAGGAAGGATCCCTGTTTTAAATCCTTTTGAAAGTCCTGGTGATTATTCTAATCTCCATGAACAAACTCTCTCCAGTCCTTCTGTTTTTAAATCAACAAAATTACCAGTAAGTTATTCTTACTAGTGTTTGCAAATGATTTTAAATATAAATGTCTTTCTTTACAAGGTAAGGGGGAAATTTATCATGGAGAATATATACCTGGAATGTGCTTTTTTAATTGTAATGTTCATTATAATATAGTTGTTAGGCTAAAAGTAAGTTACCTAGAAGATTTTTTTAGTTAGCAATTCTCTTTTTTTTTTATGGATAACATATTAGCTTCCTGCAATTGTGGGTGTAGCTAGACACTATAGTTGATGATATATCTACTACTACCATGTTAGAGAAGAAGCTATGTCATCTAATTATCTTTTTTCTTTTATTCAGCAAATATTTAAATGCTGCTGTGTGTCAGTGCTAGGCATAGAGGTTACACCATGAACAAGTTAGGGTCATCAGACACAAACTCAAGGAACTTATACTCTAATGCAGGGGTCAGCAAACTTTTTCTGTCGAGAGCCAGATGGTAAATATTTCAGACTTTGCTGGTCATCTAGTTGCTGTTACAACTAATCGCCTCTGTCTTGTATCACAAAAGGAGCTATAGGCAATATGTAAACAAATAAACATGGCTGTGTTCCAATAAAGCTTTATTCATGGGCACTGAAACTTGAATTTCATGTAATTTTCACATCATGAAATGCTTATATTCTTTGAGGTTTCTATCAACCATTCATGGCTTGCAGATTGTATAAAAAAAAGTCAACCTCTACTCTAATGAGATAGACACAACAAAAGAAGTTGATGTGTGCTATGTATGACTATAGTTAAGAACAAGGGTGATATACAAGGGAAAGTGCTCTTTAAGAGATTAGCGAAGGCTTCATCACTTGGCATATTTTAACTGTTATTGGCTACACTGGAGAATTTTTGAAGTCTGATCTTTTAATCTAATAAGTATCTAGAAAACTGCCAAAACTGGGTTGCTGTTTATGTTATATGAGATGTAATCTCAAAATATGGTGAATGTTCAAAAAAAAATTTATTACAGTAAAAGACACATTGCCATTAATCCCCCTCAAAATACTCCCCCTTTGCTTCGAACATACTTACCCCATCATTCTTGTCACTTTCTGAAGCAGTTCTGGAAGTCCTCTTTTGTGAGTGTCTTTAGTTGTGCTGTCGTGGCTGCCTCGATGTCCTGAATTGATTCAAAACGTTTCTTTCATGTTTGACTTTGGGGAAGAGCGAGAAGTTGCACGGTGCCAGATCCGGTGAATAAGGTGGATGAGGACACACCGTGTAATGTTTTTATTTGACAGAAATTGCCTTACCAGAAGCGATGTGTGACACAGAGCATTGTCATAATGGAGGATAAAGTCAAGACACTCAGGAAAGAGGACTTCCAGAACTGCTTCAGGAAGTGGCAAGAACGATGGGATAAGTGTGTTAGAAGTGAGGTGGAGTATTTTGAGGGGGGGTTGATGGCTGTGTGTCTTTTACTGTGATAAATGTTTTAAATTTAAACATTCACCTTATTTTTTTATCACACTTCATACTTTCATATCGACTTCAAGCAGGTATGCAGTAGAGGAAAGTCTTGCAGTTATACAGTTTATATTGAGTCATTAACCTGACCTCATTTTTAACTGAATCATACTAAATCTTATCTGTTAGTCTTAATAATGGAATGACTGCAACTTAATCTTCAAAGCCAGAATGTATGGCATCTCAGGTTTTTAATCCTGAATTGATCAAAAATATATTCTGAATTACAGCTGAGGATTTGCATAAGAGTTTGGTTTAGTTGGACAATTGAGTACAGAAAGGCAGCACTGGTTACCATTTGTAATTATTTTAAGGATCAACCATTTTGTGAGTTTTTGTAGGCACTTCTGTAGTCAGGACTTTAATTTTAGTTCATTATTATTGAAAGTAAAGACTTTTGGTAACTAAGAGATTTTTATTTTAATTTGGGCATATTGCATCACTAATGAGTGTTAATTGTAGAATTTCTATACTGTTTAATACCCTTACTGTGATTTTCCTATTATGCAATTTTAAAAATCACCCAGAGGGGAGATTTGGATATTTTAAAATCAAGTCAGTTGATTTAGTGTGATTTGATTACCATTTGCCATTTAATCTAGTGGTAAAGTCAAATTAAAAATATGAGCTGTAAGATATTTTTATATTAATAACCATTCACTTTATTTTTGAAGTTGACATTGGTTAGCATTTTGATGAACTATTTTAGTTTGCTTTTACTCATAAGCTCACTTTCTTTTGTTAAGACTCCAGGGAAATTTAGATGGTCTATTGATCAACTAGCTGTAATAAATCCTGTAGAAATAGACCCGGAAGACATTCATCGTCAAGCTTTATACTTAAGCCATTCTCGGTAAGTTTTCCTTTCTTTGCCCCGAAGCGTGATGACATACTCTCACATGAAGAGAGATAGGAAATTCCGAAGTTGAATATTTTTATATGTAAAAACATCAGGGAGGAAAAATTATGATGCAGATTTGTCTTATCTAAATGAGTGAGGTCAAAGGACCTGAAAGATTCCCCTGCTAACAGTTCCAAGTCTGGGTAGGAGTCCTTTTCTTTTAGAGATGATCTGTTTCCCCTACTTATGGGACAACTCTGCCTCCTCAGCATTTGGAAGAGGGAAGGGCATTTTGAGATTTGTACCTTTCTACATGATTATGGCTTCTGCCATTGAAATTTTTTTTTTTTTAAGATTTTTATTGAGGAATTGGGGGAGGGGAACAGACAAGTTGCTGTCCTTTTGTTCCTCAGTTTAGTTGTGGAGGACAGCGCTTCACTGGCCCATGTCTGTATTATTGTGCTCTTCCCGGCTGAGGTAAATCGGTCACCAGCCATTGGACAGCCGCTAACGGCAGCCCAGCTCCAGGTCGAGCTGTTGTTCACCATCTTAGCTGTAGAGGGCGCAGCGTCATTGGCCCGCATGTGGGATCCGAACTGGGGCCCTGCTGCTCAGAGCTGACGTCCCAAGCCAGCTCTTAACCAATGCTCGCCACTCGGCCGGCCCTGCCATTGAATTTTGTTTTTTTCTTTTTCGGTGGTAATGGGGAAAAGCAAAATGCTGTTTCATTGTACATTTAGGCAAACCTAAAAATCCCCTTACTAAGTTAAGACACATTGAATGGAAGGGTATCCATTAGCAACAGAGGGAGCTTTTATAGACTTCATCCAACTTTGACATAGGACACCTGGGAATCTGAATTACGTTGTCTTGAATTCTGCCTAGTTATAGTGCAGCCTTAACTGCTTTGTTGATGTGTTGTGTAGGTTTCCAAGCACTAGGGTGCCTCTGACTTGTGCTGCTTAATGATGCCTCGTGTAGTGAGAACATTCACTTCCTTGGTGGAACAGACCTAGTTTTGTATTACAAATTGCAATGATCTGTAATTACAAATTACAGATAACAGTTTTCATTAATAGTTTGAGGGACTCTTTTGTTGATGTCCGTTTTATAGTCTGACTTTCTTTATATCTGGAAAAATTGAATACTGGTATGACCAGCTTTTCATTTTTGGACATATGTTGTCAGTCCAAAATAAAGGGTAACCCTTTTCCCTTTAACTTTAGAATTCAGTCACACAAAGATGTACACATGTTGAGATGCTTTTGCAAATATTTGTCTGGCTTTTCTACTCCTCCTCTTGGCTCAGTAACTTGATGGCCATTCACTCATAATTAATTAACGTCTATCCAAAGTGTTGTAGAAAGGGAATAGAATGAGGATGAGCATAAAAGGGTTTTATTGTAAATCTAAATAATGCCTTTGAAAGAGAAGGTGGAAAGAATATCTAAAAGCAAATGAGTCACAAATGAGACAAATGTTTTATTTCACACAAACTTTATTTTGCCTCTACTCTTCAGTATATTCAACCATGGACACCTGTTACCTACCAAGTCAGGAGATAATTACTGAGCACTGAGGCACTATGACGAACACTGAAGAAGTATAGGATATTATTCCTTCCCTCTAGAGTCGACAACACTATTAACCAAAGTTGTGATACATTTCTGTACTTATTAATAAATGATCTGTTGTCCAAGTGGGTTTATGAATCTTGGCGTCTATCAGTAGATAGATTTGTAATATAGGCAAGGAGGAGAGAGTGGGAAAAAACCCTAAATTTAACTTAATTTACTAATGTAATGCAATGAATAGTTACAGCTTCTACCAAGGATAGTGAGTATACAGGTTGATTCATTATTAGCAACAAGCAATGGCTTTCAGTGTCTCTTCCCATCTAACCCAAGTTCCCTATTTCAGTGCTTCCCACCATTTTCAGGCCATGCTACACATAAAAAATAACTGCAAGGCATACCAATGTAAGCAAAAGATCTGTCCATACAGAAGGTGAACAGTCCTGAAACCCCTCTCCCCTCCAAGGATCTGTTCAGGGCATACCGGTACCCTGTATGCATCATGCCAGTGTCGGTGATATACTCGTCAGGATACTGTACCCTATATGCCTTCTTAGAACCTTCCATGATCTGGCCCTACAGTATTTAGCCAAACTGATTTTCACTGCTTCCAGCAGTTACCTGAATATCTCAAGTTCGTAAAGTCCCTCTGATGAAGCAGCAAAAGGGTTTTGAATGAGGTAATGCTAGATCAGAGACTACTATATTAATACTATATGCTATTAATATTATGCATTGCCATTTTTACCTGGTTATGTCCATGATGCAATAAACAGAACTGAGTTATCCTCAAAATGGCTGTTGTTCAAGCTGAGATATGGGGATTATCATTGTAGTCTTTCTCACAATTCCCTTATTTGAAAAACACACTTGATTTTAGTTTCTGAAATGTGTACATTATTATGTAAGCTTTTTTAAGCCACAAACAGATACACATACATATATGCGAAGAAATTTTGAGAATAAAAAAGTGTCTTACCAATTTATTAATGGAGAGCATATATTCTTTCCTGGAACAGATTAAAGAAGTGGTCTTACAAGGCTAACTGCTGAGTCCTTAGCAAGTATATGCCTTGTGCTTGAGACCCAACATTTTATATTATTGAGTTGTTAGAGAAGTCATGACCCATTTTTGCAATGAAAAACAGAAAAAATACGTCATAACTTTTCCGACAACCCAATAAATCTCATAGCTGGCAAATTTGTGTTATTGTAATTGCATATTGTATCAAAGTGAAAAAAATATTTGAACAAAATTTTATATTGTTAGTGTTTTATTTCATAATTAATAATTTTGCTTATTTATTTAGCTGTCTAAGGATGATAGTTTCTTTTCTCTTTTGGAATAAGTTGATTCTAAAATTACAACTATGATAAACTTGTTATAATTGAAGAAAATGAATTTGGACAATTTTTAAGTTTCTGTGGAATGAAATACTTTTAATTTGTTGTGATTAAAGGATAACGTTTATCCAAATTACTTTCTTTATGTTGTTAATAGTAATTTTTAAATTATATCAGTGTAAGCCTTTGAAAAGAAAATATTACTCCCTTTAAAGTAAATGGAAAAGAGGGAGTTAAGACTAACAGCACAATGCTGAATATCTAAATACTATCATTAACTGTGATAAGATTCCAATTTTTCTTTTAAAATGAGCTTAACATTTGCCAGTTTTCAACAGAAAGAAATTATTTCTTTGAAAGGTTATTTTCCATGTTCAATCAGCTGAAGTAATGGCCTGGTTATTTTTCTTCTTTATCTTTGTATAGAATAGATAAAGATGTGGAAGACAAAAGACAAAAAGCCATTGAAGAGGTAACTTAAAACTGTTACTGATCATTAAACCAGTTAAGCGTCAATTCCGCAGGCATGTCACCTCTTTTAGGATGACTTCCTTCAAATCCTTTGCTGTCCTGGCTCCTCACCAGCTTGCCTGTCCCCCGATGTATGAGCGCCCCTCTGTGCTCCCAGAGGACCAATGCCTTTCAGCTATTTCAGCGCCTCTCATAGTACTTACATACTATTGTAATGATCTATTTAGTGCTTTTCTCCCCTAGACTGAATTCTTTTTTGACTAAATTGTGCTTCCTGCATCCTTTCATTCTCAGGGCCTAGCACAGTTTGTCTTCCTTATATTTTCAGAATATCAATTAGCACAAACTCTGTTTCAAGTTGGAGTTTATATAAAGGAAGTTGAATATTTTCGGAACTTGGAAATCCAAATTGGCATTGGTAATGGGTTTTTTGTTGTTGTTAAAACTTTGGAATTTTAAGACATTGTATTTCATGTAATAACATGTTTTACTAATACAGAGAAAAGGTATATCACACATACAGAGTTTTTAAAAAAATAAAAATAGTGAACTAAGTTTTTCACTTTTGCTTCTTTGTTTGCTAAACTCTTCTTAGAGCTCAAGTAAGGGTTATCTACCTAGTTATCTCCTGAGAAAGTCTTTATGTCATGACAACATTTCTTATTTTTTCTTTTTCCTTCACTAGCCCCCACTACCCGCCTGTATTCCTTAGCTATACTTGTCTCTTCTGCATCCCAAAAGACTTCAGCTATGTCGTGGTGAGAGATCAGGTGATACCTCTGGCCCCTTCACCTATTTTTCTAGTGTCGGTGTTGTTACCTTGTATTTCAGATATAGCCTATTTCTTCAAAAATAGTTTTACGTAAAAATGTGCTTTACTCTAAACATTATCTACTTCTTAGTCTACCTAGTAATTCCAAATTTTCATTCTGGTCCAATCACTTGATTCCCCACCCCAAGTTGAATATTCTCCGATTCTTTCCCATTTCCTAACATTTCAGAAAACATGCTTTCTTTTTAGAACCCTCAACATTAAATGGATGTTCAGAAGACAACTTAAGAAAATGAAGTCAGTGAATAGTAGAGTCAATGTATCAGAAACAAATTAAATTTTTTCATATACATATATATGTATATGTGTGTGTGTATATATGTATATGTGTGTGTGTATATATATCTAAAAATAAAATAAATACACATAGCAAAAAAAAGTTCAAATTGCAAAAAATAAAATCAAATGAAACGAGGAGCCTCTTGTTCACCCATCTCACTTCCTTAAAGTAACTCCTGCAACATTTTATACTTCTGGATTAATTTTATGTATGTCATACCTTGTGTCCTTTAAATATTTTACCCAAACAGGATCATCATTCTCATACTGTTTTGCATCTTGCTTTTTTGCTTCATAATTTTTCTTAGATATTTTTTTATTATCAGCACATACGAGTACCAAATGTATCATAACCTAACCCAGCCCCTACTGATAGATGTTTAGGTTGTGTTTGGTGTTTTTCTATCACAAAAAAATGCTGCAGTGAACACACTTGAATGTATATCTCTGTGTAATTGAATTGTCTTGCTAAGTCAGAGGCTTTGTGTTTTCAGTTTTGGTAAATTTTACCATCTTACCCCCACCAAAAAAAAGTTTGTACCAATTTTTACCCTTAGCTACATTATGATACTTACTGTTTTCTCATAGCTGCACTATTGGTTATTAACAAACTTAATTTGTGCCACTTTTATTACCTAAAAATTTTTTTTTGTAATTAAAGTTTATTGGGATGACAGTGGTTAGTCAAGTTACATAGATTTCAGGTGTACACCATCTACATATCACATTGTGTGTTCATCCAGAGTCAGTTTTTCTTCCATCCCCATATATTTTTTATCCTTTTACCCTTATCTACCACCCCTCCTTCCCTCTTATCCTCTGGTAGCCATTAAACTATTGTCTGTGTCTATGAATTTGTGTTTCTTTATTTGTTTGTCTTGTTCCTTTGTTGTTTTGTTTTATATCCCACGTATGAGTGAAATCGTATGGTTCTCAACTTTTTCTGTCTGATTTATTTCGCTTAGCATAATAATCTCAAGATCCATCCATGTCGCAAATGGCACTGTTTCATCTTTTCTTATGGCTGAGTAGTATTCCATTGTGTATATTTACCACAACTTTATCCAATCATGTATCGAAGGACACTTTGATTGTTTAACTTGTTATTTGGATTTGTATGTCTTTCATTTTGAGTGAACTTGTGCATAGCTTCATAAGTATATGGGTACTTTATATTTCTTTTTTTCTGGGAATTATCTATATCATAATCTCTACCACCCCTCCCTTTTACATCTTTTCTTCATGCATTCATAGGTAGTTTAGTCAAGGAAATTAGTTCTTTGTTATGTTATAGCAAAATACAAAGGAAATGTTATGAATTGCCTCAAAACCATAGAGATGGAAGGGAAGAATACTATTTTAGGCTTAATTTCATATCTATAGGGAAGAGGATAGACATGTAACCAAATACTCTATCTCCATTTGAATATACTGGCCAGTGGTGTGCTGGTAAATCTTTAACAGTTGGCCCTCTGGTTGTGGGAAGAGTATGAGTCTTAGTGATTGCTGCTATCCATGATGTAAATATTCCAACTACGGCCAATTTCAGGGTACTAACATAGTTATCACTAAATAGGAAGAGAAGTGTGGTGGAACACCATTATATGGAGGTATTCTCCCATACAGATACAAAAGATGTACTTTACCTCAGGAGCATGTTATTAGCAAGTGATGATTTTGAGTATTCATTACCTTTATTTTTAATATAATTTATTTAATTGTAACTTAATATAATTTTACTTTTAGTATTGGCTTTGCACAAAATTTTTGAAAATTTAATAGAGCTTGAGACCCAGTACAAGCCAGTTCCAGCACACCATTGATACTGGCTTACTGTCTCCATTTATTCCTTGCTTTTTCATGCTCCCTTTTGTCACCCCCCCCCAAAAAAAATAGTTGGGGATAAATTAAAAGAATTTTCTTTATGATTAATGCCCTTAGTTTAATATGCAAGTTTCAAATTTAAGTGGTTGATTTGCAGCATTAAGATTTCTCTTTATATAGATTTTAAATTTCTTCCATTTTACCTTTGGTCATTTGTGCCTTTAAAGTATTAAAATGTTTAAATATAACTACAAAGTCAATATGTAATGTGTTTGGTGGTTATTTAAAAATAACGTAAGTACCCGTTCATATTTTGGGGGGAATTGATGCCTAATTGTGTGACTTTAATTTTCCTAGTTTTTCACTAAGGATGTCATCGTACCCTCTCCTTGGACTGATCATGAAGGGAAACAGCTTTCAGAGTATCATTCCAGTAAATGTGAGTGTACTGAAAATCATCTGATTAAAAGTGGTAAAACTAAAAAAATCGGTGAATGTAAAGCAACATATAGTGAACTGTCAGTTTATAAAAAGTGCTTTGGTAAGGAACTTACTGTAAATTAAATTTCTAGGTACCAAAGGAGTTAACTATTTAAGGGTTAGGATTCAAAATTTGACTAAAATGTACTGAATTCGGTTTTTTGCCCATTCTATTCTGATTTTAGCTTTTTCTTCATGGCCATTGTGAATATCATTTATCGTGATGGTTACAAAGGATCCATAGATGCAGAAATTGTTAGGATTGAACATAGAGCTGAGTTGTTAGTGATTTTGAAGGTTAACTTTTTAAATGAAATCCTTAAATTGCTTTGCTTTTGTTGCTTTTTAAGTTCTGTTTTCTTTTCTTTTTTAAATTGCTTTGCTTTTTGATAATTTGCTGAGTTCTTATAAAGGTAGAGGAAGGATGGACACTTGGCCTCTAGGACAGTGTAATACAACTGATTATCTGCAAAACTAATAAGGAAATTAAGGGCAAGCCAGTGATCTTTTCAGGGGTTTTTCTACCTCCAGGAAGTTGGTTCTTACATTTGCTCTCACTGTCCTTTGGGTTGTGAGCAGTGTTCAAATATTACTTGTATATATGCATCCCTCATTTCAGTGAAATTACCCACTCTTCTGTGTAGCATACACTAATTATGCTTGCAGCATAAGAGAGTATTTGTTCCATTCTTTATCAAAAACACAATAGTAGGGAAATGGATTGAGTACTTTCCATGGCCAGAAGACTGCTAAGTACTTTTAGTAATTCCTTTCAATAGCTCATATATGAGGTAGGTGCTATTATTATTGGACCATTTCATAGGTGAGAAAACATAGTTTTAGAAAGGTTAGAGCACTTGCTCAGTATTACAGAGATGATAAAAGTGGTAGAACCTGGATTCAAAGCTAGGCATTCTAAGTTCAATTCTGTATTCTCAGCCCTCACAACCTGAAGGTAGCTGCAACAGTGGATGGAGGACCTGGATTGTAGACCTGCTACTATAAACCGGAAAGGGTGACATAATCAAATTATTTAACCTCTTTAGACTTCAATTTTTTATTTATAAATTAAAGCAGTTGAACTACATGGCTGCCTATTAATGACACTTGCAGCTCTAAAATTCTATATCCAACACAACATTTTCATAGACACTGCTTTTTTCCCCAAAATCCTTTAATTTTTGATTTTTGGACAGATGAACTAACCTTTTTAATGTAATCCTTTTTATAAAATAATTTCATATACTAAGTATCCAGTTTTGGTTACAGTGATACAGGATCAGGAAGATGCTAAAATTAAGACAGGTTCTTTTTTTTTTTTTTTTTTTTTAAGATTTTATTAGGGAATTGGAAAAGGGGAACATTGTGTTTTTCCAGGACCCATCAGCTCCAAATCAAACGTGTTGTCCTTCAATCTTAGTTGTGGAGGGCGCAAGCTCAGCTCCAAGTCCAGTTGCCGCTTTCAATCTAGTTGCAGGAGTCCATCTGACAACCTTGTACAGATGAGCCATCCGGCCACCTGTTGGCAGCTCAGCAGCAGCTCAGTTTGGGCGCAGCTCACTGGCCCGTGTGGGAATCAAACCAGTGACCCAGTTGCTCAGAGCTCACGCTTTGCAGCTGGCCCCAAAGACAGGTTCTTTGGTGTGCTAATCCAGCCCATGATGACAGAGAGCAGCACTTAATAGGGTGGGCTCCAGGGCTGTGCTGTCCAATAAGATGTGAGGAGACAGTTCTCCATGGTCTTGAATTTCAGCACATCAAGTGAGGAGTGGTGCTGAGTGGTTTTTTTCCCAAACTGTCTTTTCAAGGATGTTTGTATTGTGAACATCCTTGGAAGACAGAGAGAGTGTGTTCCTGCAGAGCAGAGTTTAGGTTTTGTGTTTTCCTCTGGAGCAGGTTTGCTTGCAGCCTCCTACAAAGAATGGGATTTCCTAAGCTCAGGGTTCCTCAACTGTGATGAAAACCCACTGTGTGTGCCTCATCCACCTGTGCTGTTTCATGTCACCTCCTTGGGTCTTAGGGGGAAAGGAAACTGATGTGAGCATGAACCTCCTGCTGCCTGCTGTGCTGGGAATTGTGAAGTCTTTTGTCTTTGACCCAGAAGCCCAGTGTCTTCAACCAGCATCCGTGGGATGTTGACACGCTAAATTGTCAGCTTGCAAGTAGGGTAAAATCTCAGACTTTTCACAGGTCTTACATATGGTAGCCACTAGCGAAACGTGGCCTTTTAAAATTAAATAAATTAAAATTAAAAATTGAGATTCCTAGTCCCACTATTCACATTTCACGTTTAAGGTGTTTGGACTCCAGTCTAAAGACCAAGGACATGAGGGTTTTCCGCCAGGGGTGGGGGTGAGGGTGCCTTGATTACATTTGCCTCATAGTAGGTCACCCTGCCTACAGCAAAGAAGGCGTTTGATTCTCGAATTTTATTTCTTTACGCATTCTGATAGTATTTAATAGGAGACTAACTCATTCACCCACCCCACCCACTTTCCATTCACCCGTTTACTTATTTAAGTTTATTAGATTACTGGTCTTTATTCTGTTATTTTAAGTTTTCTAGGTTTTTGGGTGTCCTTGCTTTTTCCTTCCTTTTATTTTGCTTATATTAGTAATTTTTGTTATTGTATGTTTTAGTTTTTTATCTAGTGATTTTCAAGTTATGAAGCTTAATATTTAGTCATTAACTTTCTGTTTTTTAAAGAATTCTTTGTAACCATATTTTTGACCCCTGTTGTGAAAAAAACTGAGCATGGTTTTATTTATCAAATTTTAGATTTTGTCAAGATGATTTGGTATTTTAATTCAAACAATTTATGTAAACCCATTTTGCAAAAATGTTAAGCGACAGGATTTGATTAAGGGCATTGAGTATGGCTAACATACATCTTCACCTTTTAAGGTTGACAGCATGGAGAGCAACCATGCTTTCCTTAAAAAGGATTACTTGGTGCCTCCTAATTTGCTTTACAGCAGTAATCCTTCAAGTTTTATCTTTGCGCTCCCTCAAAATTAAAAATAAATAAATAAATGTAACAGAAATATGGCAAATTATACACTTAGATATGCAGACATTTATTTTTTAAATGTAAAATAAAAGTTTCCACAGAAATAGTCTCAGAGATAGAGAGGAAAAACTGATGGTGGCTAGTAGGGAGGGGGTGGATATGAGGGAGAAGGGGAAGGAATTAGATAGCATAAATAGGTAACTATTGCCACAGGGATATGAAAGACAGTTTGGGGAATATAATTAATAATGTTGTAAATATTTTGTAGGGTGTCAGATGGTCACATGTCTTGTTAGGGAGACCACTTCATGGATGGGGTAGAGGCTTGATCGCTGCACTGTACACCTGAAGCTGATGTTGTATAATATTGTATGACAACTATAATTGAATATATATATATAGTCATGAGATATGGAGTATAGTGTGGGAGTGGAGTCAATGGATTTGTAATAGATATGTATGATATCAGGGGCGGGGGGAGTGGGGTGGTGGATTCGGGGAGGGGGGTTGTCACTTTGAGGGGTAAAAAGTATAACTATTGCACTGTGCTGTACACCTGAAACTAATTTTTTTTAAATTTAAAAATAAAATAAAAAGTTTCCACTTTCTTCATTTTCTTACTCTGGAAAAAGTAACCCTAAAGTAAATTAAAAATATAAAATGTGAGTTTTTTTTCACGTAAAATGTTTTTACAGGTATTAACATAAATAATGAATCTCTTATTGGAAGACAGCCGACCAGTGATTCTGAGAAAAGCAATGGTGAGTATGAATACAATCTGAAAAGAAGTATGTTCCACTGTAAGCTACATTTAAGTTTAAATTCAGTTCATGTGGTAACACTTTAGAATTGAAATTGTTTACTTTTTATGAATGCGTTCGTCATATGAGAGCTGACTTTTAAAAACCATTAGACTAAATACATCCAGCCATGTTTTAGAAATAGCAATATTGTGTTGTTTTCTTATTCAGAGCATGGGAATTGATTTCTGGTTTTGGAAAGCATATTTTTTTAAATTTGTTAATATTGGGAAATCAATCCCCAGATATGGACTGGCTTATTTTTTTGATTCAGGTGCCAGCAAAACAATCATGAGTTCACTTTAACCATTGACAGGTTTACATCAGTGCTAGAAAATGTGGGAAACATCTTATATAGGAGAATGGCTTGTTATGTAAGAGATGCACAAATGAAACAGTTCGGTCAGCGGAACACCACGGGGCGATGGTTGATTGGGAAGCACATGCTACATGGGATGTGCTCGGATTGATTTATCCATGTTTGTATTTTTTTTTATCTGCTTGTTTCTAGCTGCTTGTCAGACTTTGCTGTCTCTTCCTGTGGATTTTAATTTAGAAAATATATTAGGTGAGTATTGTATTTATTTAAGTCTTCAATAACTTAAAAGATTTTGTTTTGATGGCTTTTTGTAAGTGTGTGGCAATGCCTTTTTCTAAAAAAGGGAAACCATCCTGAAATTTCTACTTTTTTTTTTTTTTTCAATCTGGCTTGAATTAGTCTTTTTATCATAATGAACTTTACTTTAGACATAAACTACTTATAGACACATCTTATACTAATAATGGAGCATATACTATTAGTGTATACTAATAATGGAGCACTGAAAAAGAAGAAATAATTCCATATTTCAAACATCACATACACCATTAAGCTTTGCCCTCTATTTCAAAACAATTCAAACATATAGTACATGGTGGTTTTTTAAAATATCAGGTAACTGAAGTATAATTGTTCTTCAAAATAACTAGCTTTGCCTTTTATTCTGTTAACATTAAATATAGGTGACTATTTTAGAGCTGATGAATTTGCAGATCAGTCTCCTGGCAACCTCAGTTCTTCATCCCTCAGAAGAAAACTATTTTTAGATGGCAGCGGAAGTATCTCTGAGTCCTTACCTCCATCGTCTCCCAGAAGTCCTCGCAGTGGTGCTCAAGCATCACTTGAGGTTTTCTGTTCGATAGATTTATCTCCTGTACAGTGTAGGAGCCCAGTGCAGACACCAAGTTCGGTAAGAAGTGTATTAGAAGTGGCTGGTTAGTTTGCTGTATATATACCTGGACCTTGATGCTCATACTGCACTCAAGAGAAATAGTCGCTTTTTGGGTTTTATATCTCATGAGGATTAGATTAGTTCACATTTTGTCATTTGTCAGGAATATTTTGGGTCAGACTTTTCAGTTTTGCATTTAGAGGTAAATGGGATAACCAAATTTGTCATGTGTCTCAAGGAATTTCAATATATTTACTGAATTACAATGTAAGATTTTCACTGTAACACAATTGGATTGACATTAATGGAGTAATTATTTAACAGTTTTTCATAAACAGCTGCTTAGTATAAAATACAATGGTTTGTTTAAATCCAGTGCATTTATATTTTATTTTGACTGACATATTCTCTTTCAAAGCTTTTGTAATAATCTTAGTTGTCCTTGTTACAAGATGCCTTGACTTTCGGCATCTTTCTTTTGGGGGAATGACCAGAGTTTATATGATCTACTTTATAAATGTGTTTTGAAGATGAAGATAAATAGCATATGGTATAATGAGTTGAGGAAGGAACCATATAGTTTTATTTATTTATCTTTATTTATTTATTTTTATCATAGGGGCAGTTTTCTTCCAGCCCTATTCAGGGTAGTGCAAAAAAATACAGTTTGGGAAGTATAAACAGTCCTTCACCTATTTCTTCACCCACTTTCTCACCAATTGCATTTAAAATAGGAAAGACACCACTCTCAGGTATGTCTCATAATAAAATACCTAAATTTAAATTTTTATATCATGAATATTTGATATTAAAGAGGCTCTTTTTAGCTTGTTCTAACTGTAGAGCTCTAAATGACCATTAACCTTTTAAAATTTAGAAACTTTGGGTTCTTTGTTTTTTACAAGAGGAGCAATTTACCTTCATAAACTGAGATTCTTGGCAAAGTTCTACTCTAGTGTTAAATACAGGTAATTTGATATCAAATTTTTTTATAAAGGGAATCAAAGATATCAGTTTTAGAGGTAAGTTGGTTTTGGTATGCTTTGTTTTTGCTTCTGACCTGTAGATCCACACTTTGGTTTTGGATATTCAAATTTTGAAAAGATATATTTGTTTGAGTAAGGTTTTTAAAGCAAATAGAGCATGTGGTATTTCTCTTTGCAGTATGTCAGTTTCTCTGAAAAAAATTATAGCACTTTTTAAAAATTATTCACAAAAAAAACCCTATTCATAGTAAATAAAATTGGAAGACTGAAACAGTATTTTTTGTTAGTTTTTCATGTGTGTATTTATCTCCATATACATAGATACACACACACACACACACACACACACACACACACACACACACACACACACAGAGTTTTATATCCTTTTTTTCACAAAGCATTTTATTATGAGTATTTTCATAGGTCATTCAAGTCTTTTATTATTGTCTGAAACCATGATTTTGAATTACTGTATATTATTCCATTTCATGGATGTATCATTTGTTTTCAACCATTGATAAATATTTAAATTATTTCTAACTTTTTAAATCACATACCTAATGATTATCCTTGTATATACATTGTGTTATACATATTTATATCTTTGGTTAAATTCTCAGAAGTAGATTTATTTGGTCAAAAGGGGTGAATGTATTTAAGGCTTGATGAAATTTGTCAAATTTTCTTCATAAAAGGTTGTACCAATTGAAATTTTCATCAATAGTATATAAGAAAGTCAGTTTCTCCCCATACAGAAACACTGGTTTTATCACTCCTTTTGAAATTTGTTAATTTGGTACATTACAGAAAGGTCTCTTACTGTTTTAATTTTTGTATCTTTGATTATTATGACGTTCAATTCTTTCTAAATTTTTATTAGTCATTTATGTTGGGGTGGGAGGTTATTCAGACTTGAGCATTTTTGTTAAACAAATGGTCTCTTATTGCTTTAACTTCCATATTTTTTATACTTCTGTGACTTAACACTTCATGTGTTTATTTACCATTGGGAAGATTGTTTCTGCTTTTACCCAGCTTTTTAAAACTTTTTTTAAGCCAATGATATTACAAAAACTATTACATTTTAAAGCATTTTTATCATTTTAATTATCATTGTTAAGCTCTTTATTATTGCAAATATTTTAGTTTTTTGTTTGCATTTTAATGTTGCTTATAGTATTTTGCATAAACACATAGATTTTTATATACAGAAGTTCCCCTTATCCACAGAAATACGTTCCAGAACCTCCAGTGGATACCTGAAACTATGCATAGTACTGAACCCTATCTATACTGTGTTTTTTCTTATACATACATACTGTGATAAAGTGTAATTTATAAATTAGGCACAGTAAGAGAATAACAATAATTACATAATAAAATAGAGCAATTATACCAATAGACATCAATAAAAGCTAGGTGAATGTGGTGACTCTCTCTCGTAACTGATCTGATACCTGAGCCAGCTGCGAAGTGGCTAACAGGTGGGCAGCATATACAGTGTAGAGATGCTGGGCAACGGGACCATCTTTGTCCCGGGTGTGATGGAGCGGGATAGCATGAGATTTCATCAGGCTGCTCAGAACGGCGAGAAATTTAAAACTTACTGTTTATTTCTGGAATTTCCCATTTAATGTTTTTGGACTGTAATTGACCTGCAGGTAACTGAAACCACAGAAAATGAAAGCAAAGATAAGGGGGACTACTGTATTTCATTTCTCCGGTACAGCTATTAATTTGTAGCTGTCAGCTCATTTACTCATTCTTTGTATTCAAATATTATTATAGTAGCAATATGCTTGTGAGGAACTAATTCTCAGCAAGTATTTTAATTTAAAAAAGGGAAAGTGGGGCCGGCCAAGTGGCTCAGTTAGGTAAGAGCTTGCTCAAGAGCTTGAGCTCTGAGCAACAGCGGCTCGATTCCCAGCCCGAGCTGAGCAGCCACTGAGCTGGCAACAGGTAGCAGGATGGCTCAGCTTAAAAAAAAAAAAGGGAAAGTGCCAGGGGAATGATTTTTTAAGAGCCTCATTTTACTTACTGAGACACATTCATTTGTGCTATTGCTTTTAACTCCAAAGTTTTACTTGAGTAAAGAGCACAACTATTAATAGAAACCCATTTTTTTTCTGGCATGAAACATGATTACCATTTCGTAAGGCTTTTCCATTTTTGTGTTCTTATGATGTAATTTTTCCCTCCCAATCTTTTAGAACAAAGGAGGTTTACTTTGCACTCTCCTGATGCTTCGTCTGGAATACATTCTAATGGAATTTCTAATCAGTGTATCAGGAGTCCTTATATAGATGGCTGCTCACCAATTAAAAATTGGTCTCCTATGAGACTTGAGATGTACAGCGGTGGTACTCAGTATCGGACCTCGCTGATTCGGATACCTTTTACTCTGGGGGCTCCCAGTGAAGACGAAGAAGATAAAGCGAGTATGCCTTCCACGGCTGCCTCGTCACCCGCCATGGAAACTGCTGGAGGCCACCCGAGGCAGCTGAGAGGTGACGCTTCTCCATGTGGCACACATGTGCTAGTGACCGCCATGTCTGTGACACAGAATCAGTCCGGTGCAGCTGCGAAAGGCTTAGCACTGCTGCAGGAGGCTGAGAGTGAGGAGAATAACACTGTGGATATGGTGGATCCTATAGAGACAGCAGATGAGAACACCTGGACTAAGGAGCCACTTGACAATGGCAGTTTACCCATGACTGACTCTGTGAGTGGGATTGCCTTCAGCATTGAGAGCTCTCATATGTGCATGTCGCCTCTGGCAGAGAGCAGTGTCATTCCTTGTGAGAACAGTAACGTTCAGGTAAAGTACTGTAATGCTCTGTAGTCCTTGACTCGCTGCCTTGGTGTTCTTTATCCTTTCTTCTCGAAGATTATGGTAAGAGAAAATGCATTACATGTGAGGACTATAGCGTATTTTTTTTAATATCAATACTAGTTGACATCAAGAGGGTTAGTTTCTTGTAATTTGGACTGGTAATGCATATTTAATATTCACATTAACTGGTACTATTTGGAGTGGGAAAAGATGAGAACAGAAAAGAAATCAAGCTGCTCTGTTTTACAGACTGCTAGAGTCAGACAACTTGTTAGGATTCATCTTTCTGTGGAGCTAGTGCCAAAGGAATTCAGTTTCTGGTATACTATTTATATTCTAAAAACACAGTAATTTTTTTTTTCCTTTATATGATTTAGGAAGAAAAAAACTTGAGTTTAGAGCACTTTTATGTATTTTTTTGTTCTTTTAAAAATGTGATTTTATAACCAACAGTGTCCATGTAATCAAACATTTCCAATTTGGCAATATCTGGCAACAGGAAAGCATGATTCATTTGACAGACGTACTTCATAGCCAGCACTTACTTTCAGAAAGACATTTTTTCCATTAATTGCAATATTCTTTGATCTGAGAATTTTGAAAGAACTTTAAAATATTGAGCAAGACAATTCTTACCTGCCGTTTCATAGTAAAAATATCTGACACTTTGTAGCTTTACTACATGCCAGATGTTATTCTGAGTACTTTGCATGTGTTAATTTGTTTAATCTTCACAACAGTCGTGTGAAAGAGGTATACTATTATCCCCATTTTACAGATGAGGAAACTGAGGGTCAGAGAGGTTAAGTAAATTGCCCATATGGCTAGTAAGTAAGTGATGAAGCCAAGATTTGAACCCTGGTCATCTGGCTTTAGAATCCATGTTCTTTAATCCAAGTGAGTACTGACTCGTAGTAATAGCTAATACTTACACAGTGTTTCAGTGTGCCAGGCACCACTCTTCTAACCGCTTTTTGTATCTATGAATTCATTTAATTCTCACAACAACCCCATAATACTTTAGTGCTGTCAGTTTGGGCATGCTACAGTGTAAAACTCATAGAGGGACTGTAAGTGACCCAAAATTACATATAATCTTTTTCTTTTTTTTTTTTTAAGATTTTTATTGGGGAATTGGGGGAAGGGGAACAGACAAGTCACTGTCGTTTTGCTCTTCAGTCCAGTTGTGGAGGACATCGCCTCACTGGCCCAAGTTGGCACCATCATTGCACTCTTCCCGGGCGAGGCACATCAGTCGCCGGCTTCTGGACGGCCGCTCACGGCGGCTGCTGGCCCATGGCAACCCACTGCCACAGGGGCTGCAGCCTACATCGTCGCCGGTGACTCACAGCAGCCCAGCTCCAGGTTGAGCTGTTGTTCAGCATCTTAGCTGTAGAGGGCAGTGTCACTGGCCCTCATATGTGGGATCCGAACCTGGGCCCTCTGGGGTCCCAAGCCAACTCTTAACCATCGCACCACTTGGCCGGCCCTACATATAATCTTTTGCTCTTATTTTTATGCCTATATTATGTATCCTCACTTCTAGGATCATTGCAAAAAAATGAACAAACAAGAAACCACTAGAATCCCTTGTACCTACATTAGCTTCTAAATTTGGTTCCTAAGTTAAAAAGCACATACAGTCTAACTTAGCTTTAAAGGTATAGTGAACTTCTTTTTCCCTTTCCGTTTTTCTCATTACCTCTTTTTTCAGAGCATCTATAGAAGAATAAAACACTTTAATTGAAATACACCTTAATCATCCAATCCAACTACCCATTGGAAGCCTATATCATTACTAAGTTGTCATCGCTCCATCTGTAGTGGAGTACCTGAAGAGACATTCCAGTCCATTTTGGGACTTCTCTTACTATTATAAGCCTCTTCCTTGCATTGAGCTAAAATATGGTTCTGTCTGTGATATCTACCAATCAGTTTCAGTTTTACCCTTTGGACCATATAGTTTAAAAATATTTTTATACATTCTTATTTTCCTACCACAGAGGTAGCTTTCAAGCATTCCAAGACAGCCCTATTTTCCCAGGACCTTTTGAGTTGCTTTTTTGTGCATGGGTTGCCGTCCCAACCCCGTACATGGGTGTATTGTACTCAGCTATCATCCTTGAATATCTTTTCATCATATGGCGAATTCTCCTGTGTTCTGTAGCTGGGGGGTCCTGGGGTGAGGGGAGGGCAGGCAGCTAGCGCATCTCTAAAGGACATGAGGCACATAGGCTCGGAAAACAAATGGCAGATTTTAGTTTCTTTCCTAGCTGTTAGTTTTATAAATTTCAGCAAGTCACTTCTTTGAGCTTGTTTCCTCTTATTTAAAAAATGGGAATGATAATAGCATTGTAGGATAATGGTATGATCATCGTGATTTGAGTTGATATAACTAACAGTGCCTGAACACTGTTTTCAATATGTAATGGGCGACCGGGTCCTCTGTGAAAGGTAGCAAGAGGGACAGACAATGAGGATGAAGATGAGGGAAGAGCTAAAGTGCCGAGGCCAGATGTCAAGGAACGCACTGTAAGGCACAGTGGTTGTCAGTAGTGAATCTTGAAGGTTTTTAAAAGACCACATCTGATTTATGTGGGAGAAAAATAAATTTAGTAGCAGTGTGTAGGGTGACTGGCAGTAGAAACATCATTTTTAGTCAGCATAGTCCAACTGGAAGAATGGAAACACTGCAATCAGAACTAAGTTTAGTTATTTATGGGCTGTGGGATCTTAAGGCAAGATCCACTTAAGAGTGAACAGAGCATGACTTTCGTTTAAACATCTCATCCTGAAACACCTCATGTAAAATGATGCTGATGCCTTTCTGCCTTTGGGGAGTCTGCGTGGTACACGCTAAGCATCGTCATGGGTCGGGGTCTAGATGAGAGCCAGTGGGATCAGGCACCATCCTATGGGGTGCCCATTGCTCCTTCTCTTCCTACAAAGCGGGACAAACTCCTGTGTGCCTTACTTACTCCCTACTGTACTATTAACTTCCCTTGATATAGTCGGTTATATATTTAGTTTGATTTATATAAGCCAGTGGTTTGGCACTGGTGAATAACAAAAGGAAGAGTACGTAATTGGCAGATTCTCTGAAAGCAATCCTCTGATTACACTTTTGACCAAATAGCTGTTGAATGATAGCCAAACAAGATGTTTCCCCTGGGATGGTAATACTTCTTTTTTACACGTTACAAGGGTTTTGTTCAAATGGAATGTGACTCTCTGTAGTGAACAAATACGCATCCATCCCTGAAAACTGCAAACTTTTAAGATGATGATGAAATGCACTTTTTAGGCTACTGTTGGTATGGGGTCAAAAGTATATCTTTCCCTTCCCTCTGATCCTAATCTGAAGAAAAAGGCGTAAGTGCAAGGCGAATCCTTGTGGGGTTTTGTGTTGTTTGTGCTCATGCTACGCAGGTAAATGCAGTGTGTAGTGGACAGGATGGGCTTTGGAGCCTCAGGTCTTCGTCACCTCATGCTGACATTGAGTTAGCCTTTCTGAGCCCTACCTTCCTCACATGTGAAGTTACGAGTGTTGTAGTTAGGAGAAATAAGAATGGTATTTACAGTGCCAGAGAGGGCCTGGCACATTTTTAGGCACTCAATCATTATTTATTATATATGTACCAACACTGAAGTTTGCTAGAATCCGTTTTGTCTTGCTCTCTTGGGAGGTAACAGTGTATCATAGAATGCTACAATTTCAATTAAATGAAAGGTGAACTAACACCTAGAGCCATTTATATGTTATTATGAAGCTAAGATTGTTATTTCAACACTGGGTGTGAATTAAATTGAGCCCACCTTTTTAAAAATGTGTAGTTTTGAGTACTCTTAAAGGTGGCACGCCTTTTAAATTATTTAGAGATGTAACCAAAGCCATTTAAAGGTAAGCTTGGCAAATGAGTTGGAAGGTGAAGTTGAATGTAATCCTCACTTTCTTCTTAGTGTGATCACAAAGTAACAGGAGAGCATGTTCATGACTTGTTCACTGATTCTGAAGTACAAGATGTATTAGAAGGAATTACTGTATTTCCCCATGTATAAGACGTACTTTTTCAAAAAAAAATTTGGGGTCTAAAAACTGGGTGTGTCTTATACAGTGGTTGTAGATTTCAAATGCCACAGATGGAACTGAGGATGAGACAATATATGAAGACAGTGATTCGTCATCAGACACAGAAGAGGACAAGCTAACGGTTGAGAGTTTTGACAGTGATGAGGAGTTGTATGAATTTTATGATTAATAAAACTTGAGTTCAATACCTTTATGTAATATTTTTTTTCAAATTTTGGGCCCCAAAATTAAGGTGCGTCTTATACATGGGAGCATCTTATACATGGGGAAATACGGTATAAAGTGACTACTTTGAAGAACCAGTTCTACATAGAACTACCTTTTATGTTTATACATTACTTTTAAATTTTATTCAATATATTGTTACATTGTATTCAATTGTAATAGTATATATTCCCTTATTTTAAAATTTTACAATTTATATAATTACATAAAATTGTATTTGTGTATATATAAATGTTTTATTTTAAATAAATTTACTTAAGCACAAAAGTTCCTCAAAATAAATTGTGGATTAAGTGAATTGGCTTGCAGTGTTATCCTTAGTCTTTTTTTTCTCCTCACTCTTGTCAGATGGATAGTGGCTATAATACACAGAGCTGTGGAAGCAACATTATGGATACGGTTGGGGCAGAAAGTTACTGCAGAGAGAGTGATGCACAAACCCTGGAAGTCGAGAGTAAATCTCACGTTTTCAATAGACAGGTATGGAAAAAACTTGATATGGTTGTAGGTTATAAGTGTTTATAAATGTGACTTTTTTGGTCCATTTTTTTCTGCATTTTGCCTAAATGTTTATCATTTGTTTATGCCTCATCCTATCATCAGGTGATTTAACGGCAGAAGGTGGTTTTTAAGTGGAAGCACTTCGTTTTCCTAACTCCTCTGCTCTTAGTATAAGAGGAGAGGTTGGGGAGGGAGAGCCAGCCCTGCTTTGGAATTAGTGCTTGAAATCAGTTCCTTAAAACTAAGGAAGAGTTGATGGTGCCAAAGAGGCGAGTCAGAGGTTTTTGCTTCCTATTGTCTCACAGCTAAACATAAAGAATTTTTATTATTAGAGAGGGAAATAGTACAGTTGAGAGGCTATACATCTAATTAAGAACACTCAAAGGTACAGGCTCTTTTCTAAAATCCAAGTCTTGATAGATTTTGGATGCGGAATGAGATAACACATAGGTATCATATACTATTTATACAAATATATCTAGGTGAGGGGACATCTACTGAACCTTCTAGACAGGATGGTTGTAATTTTATTTCATATTTGAAGAAACCCGTAACTTTAGGCACTAATCAAGAGAAACTTTCATAAATATTCCAATTTACTAATACACAGAATAAGCATCAAGTGTACTACTGAACCTAGCTCTCCAAATGAATATTAAGTTTTAATATGGAGGCCACTTATTTTCCGTCCTTCATTTTATCATGAGGTTGGCTCATAGTTGTCCATTTAAAAGTAAGTGAGCATTAAGATACAGGAAGTACTCTTTTGTGACATAAAATATTGATCTGTAAAAAAAACTTATTTCACTGTCCCTTCAGGTTTTAAAAACAGTTTTCATTATAGTTGCACCCTGGAGTGGTCCTATTTAACCTGAAAATAAGGTATTTTCTTCTCTTTCACAGCAAAACCATACAACGCAGAGGTGTTGGATGAAAACAGCAAATCCTTAATGGAGCAGTCCACGGAGTTCCTTTCAGAACCAGACTTGCTGAATAGCTCCTCGCATATGTGATTGTGATTGGGAAAAAATGCTTCAGTGAACATGCTTAGCTTTTTCTCTTTCCCTACTTAATGTGAAAAATCAAGGGCTTAATTTAGTGACATAGGAACAACGAAAAATCTCCTGAAACTTTCAACAAGTTGCTGAAGTACAAGTTTATTTTTTATCAATAAATATTTTTGTACTTACCTTGAGTGATGTGTTTAACAATAAAAAATTTGAGAGCAATGACTTGGTCCTATCCTACAGGGTCAGTAAGCTGCTTGTTAGTAAGGCTCACGGATAGCACTGAATTTAGCAGTTCTGAGAACGTGGAACTGTGGAAGCACTGTTTTTATAAAAATGTGAATATACGGATAAATTTAAATGTATAACCTATGTGAAAGAAGTAAATCTGATGTAGGTATAAAACAAATTTAACTTAATTGAAGAGGTAGAAAGGTTCCCAGAAATTATTATTCTTGAACTATCTGTGCATTTCTGTGTAGAAATTCCTAGTTCCAGTGATAACTGGGCCTAGTTACTACTTAAAAAAGGGTAAATACTACAACGGTAGAACTCAGCATCTTAATATTATCTATTGTTTGTGGTGGTGGGGTAAATGTGGGATGCCCAGAAGAATGTCTCCCCATCCCTAAGGTAGGAACACCATTTCCAGCTCAGATTTGGCTGGGAAGAGGAGGAAGAGCTCGGGAGAACCCGGACAAACCGAGGGCCTGCATGACAGGAGCTCCTGTAGGGCTTGAGCCCTGTGAAGCGATGCTTAGCAGACATGTAACTAATTTTTTAAAGTTATATTCATGCTGGGAGTAGAATTGGGTATATGAATTTGAGGAGATATTCTTGACCTTTGGAGAACGTATATTCCTGTTTACAAATCACCTTTTAAAAACTGTCTGATTCATATGGCAGTAATAATTCATGTCACTCCCGGAAATAAAGACATGATCTTTGCATTTTTTTCCTTACTTTTTTTTTGCACCTTATAAGCTTATTACTAATTTCCAAAAGATGTTTCTTACTATGTACCCAGCTCATCCTCGCTCCCAGCGCACTGCCCATGAAAGCCATTGGCCATTAGCTCCACTGCTCAAGATACCGCATTAAGAAGTTGAGGCCTTAATCACATAGGCTTTAGAATCAATATAAACTTAAGACGATTGTTCTAAATAAGAGTTCTAGATCCTAGAGGTAGGAGATTCCCTGGCTGTTTTTTGATAGCACAAGTCAAGAAACAAAGTAGTGACTAACTGGATTCAAACACCTGCTCTGTCAATTACTACTTGATCTCGGTCTTCTCATCTGCTAAATGGGGGTAACAGTCCTACCCAACAGAACTTTTGAAGTGAAATATTCCATGTAAGCTGCTTAGCATAAAGACTGGCAGTAGAAACATTTTAGATTTACTAAGGTAGAGGCTTTAAAAGGGCGAAAGCAAGGTTTTTGGTCATATTGAACTACTAATGCCAGAACTGGGCCTTCCTCATAAAGGAGGCAGAAGAAAACAAACTTGGATATGTAGATACAAGGTCAGTCATAGCCGCCTTTTACCAAGAAGCCTTCCTCTACTGCAAGTAAACTACGGCCCAAGGGGGTGGGGGGGGGGAGTGGTGTAAATCAGATGTGTAATATTTATGACACATGAAATTGACGAAGCTTACATTTTCATGTCCAAAAAGGTCTTGCTGGGATGTCCTCACACCCAATTGTTCACGTACTGCCTATGGCTGCTTTCCCACTGTAAGAGGACAGTACTCAAGACAGCGAGTACTGAGGTTGTGACAGAGAATACGGTCGGCCGAGCCGCACGTGTCTGGCCCTTGACAGAAGAGGCTTGCTGACTCCTGCTCTTAATGTGTCGCCCCATTACGTGGACCCAAGACGACTCAAAGCCATCTTCCTTCAACTGAAGCACTTTCTGCCTCAATGTATGGATGTTTTCCTCCGTAACAGGGAACTGGAACGAGCCTTTAACCATCACTGAGTGCCCAGAAGTACACACTGGAAATGACTCTCACTTCGAATGCCTGGCGATGCCACTCTTCTCATGTGCCACAGGCTCCTTCAAGGCAGAGACAGTTTACTTGACTGCTGATAAGCTGGTACACTGTAGGCACTTTAGAAATTGAATAAGCAAAGTAAAATGTTTTAAGGTAACTATCTCAGAATATTTGAAAACAATTTAATCATTACTAATCTTTGTGGTTAAGGGAGTTAGTCACTCTGGTACACCAAACTGTAATACTTCAATCTGTGCCCTTTCATATGTACTTATACAACCCTCCCTGTCCTATATATTGGGTTGTCGGAAAAATGATGACATTTTTTCCGTTTTTCGTTGCAAAAATGCGTCATGACTTTTCAACCCAATAATTTGATACACGTATGTGCAATTTAAAAGCCATTAATCATTGCTTTCATAAGTAACATGTTGTGACATTTAAAGTGCCATCCATCTCTATTTGAATCCTAACACCTCATTCTGGGGGAGATAGTTGATGTTTAGGTCCCAGATGGTGATCACGCTACCTGGTAAAATAACTATTTTCCAGTCAGATCAAAATATCCTACATCGTGCCTTCCTACCACATCCAATTCTCAAACATTCACAGCTGTTCAAGGACCACTAAAAAAATGCAAGAGGCTCTTTAACAGAAAGAGAACACGTACAATGTAAGATAATTAACTTAAAGATGGCAAAGATGAAATACTCAATTCCCCGACGGGCCTTGACTTCACTGTCTTGAAATCTAAAAACTGACACACCAAACACAGCTTTCAAGATTTAGAGAGCAGCATAGACTGCTCCTTCTAAAAATGTTCTGTTTTTCTCCATAGGAAAATGGTCGGTTTTTTTGTATCATTATTAATCAAATTATGCAAAATTAATCTGCTCTTCAATGAACAGATGAATGCTCCCTTCAAATGATCTTTAGAGATCCCTAAATTTACTATCCTGTCACTACTTAAGTGATGGATATGCAATTGAGTTTTTCTGCATAAATAGTTCTGTGCAATCCAGAATGAAGTAGTGTGATGGGACAAACACAGTCAACAGTTCAATAAAAATGCAAATTTTTTAAATTATTAAAATGTACTTAAAAGTAACAAACTGTTTCACACACTTCTTAGCTTTAGAAGTGTTCTCTCAAGTTTTTTTTTTTTTTTAAGGAAACCAATCCTTGAAGATTTCTGTTGACTGTAGCTATTTTTCAAGTTTCTTCTTCTTTCTCTCTGGTTCATTAAAGGCCACATTTGATGTATCAGTAGGAATGCTTATTCCTGGTATCTAAAATAATGCAAATGGGGAAAATTAAGGTGAGTAAAAGCATAAAATAAGGAATAAGTGTCATTCTTATCTTCCCCTTCCCCACTGACACTTTCAAGTTCAAAAGGATGTAGGGGTAGATAGGGAAAACGGGTTTAGAAAAGGTTCTCTACACAAAGCATACACTTCAAACACAAAGTAACAGCGGTTCCACATGTAAAAGGCAGACGTGATCTCAACAGGTGAGACACAGGTCACTTGGGAAGTGTGTTTAACTATAACACGTCCAGTAATCCTAGCCCAGCCACTGGCTGTCAGCATCACACGCCTCAGCTGTCTTGGGGCAGAGTAAGGTTAAGAACCAATGTCTTAGGTGAAACACACTATCTTAATCTTCAGAAGTGTAGCTTACAAAATCGATAAAAGTAAAAAAGGACTAGGCAGAAGTTTCAAAGAGCTCTGCTCTTGGTACCAATGACCTCAGAAGAATCCTAGGGATCTGGGGTCCCCTGGCCTAGGGCCATCAGTGAGAAAGTAAGAATTGTTGTGCATGTATTTGTCCTCCACACTACTTACAGGATTCCCTCTCATAAAACGGGTAACATGACGATATCTGTCTTTCACGAAATTCCCTCTCATAAAACGGGTAACATGACGAGCAGACAGTGTAAGTCTGGACTTACCTGTGGTTCTACCAGGGACATTCGAATTTTCTGATGCTGAAGGTTAGACGAGTCTAACATGATTTTCACTTTAACTTTATCAAATACATGGAACACAGTATCTTCTACTTTAAGTGAAGGTATCTAAACAAAATACATTTTACTATTTTTAATTACTCTCATACACTTGAGGCCTTAATTCTTGATAATCTACCTTTCATATTAATTTAAAAGCCTAAATTTAAAAATCACTTCAATATTTAATAAGCACATCTAGGGGTTCAATACAACAAAACCACTAATCTAGGAGCCTCCCATAAATATGAGCTATTTATGTGTATGCTTCCTCCTTTCATTAAGATGGTCCCAAAATGTATTCCCTCATCTCAGGATTTGCACCTCATTGGTCTAGCAGAGGAGCACGAAGGTACTGCGGGCAGAGCTTACTGTTTCGCAGTTCTAAGGTTAGGAAAGTAGGAAGCATGTCAGATAAGAGGCACCGAAAGCAGGGAAATCCCCTTCCCTGAGCTTTAAGCAGCCATTTATTCCTTTACTTTAATCCATCTCTCCACCTAGGGCAAAATGTAATTCAAGTTCTCCTTAGGGGGGGGAACTTTACATGGTCTAAAACAAAGAAATCAAGGTCAACATTTGTATGTGAGAAGATATACGGAGGTAAGAAACTGAACAACGGTAAGCCTAATTGGCGTAACTAAATTCTGTAGGATACAAAAAACAATTTTACCCTTTATAGGTACCATTTGTAACCTATCAAAGAAAAAGTACCTCTCCCCCTGCCAAAAATCAATCAATCAACAAAAACATTAGACATACCGTACCTCATCGTCATAAGCAAGCTGTGGTTTTGGTTTGTCCTTTTCTTCAAAAAAGACTGTACCTTCTAAACCATACTTCGGAATTAACACCACAATAGCATTCTTTCTTACAAACAGAATATAGGCCTCTTCACTTACTATCCCTTTGCTTTTGAAGAACAACTGTAAAATAACATACAACCTTATTAAAAACTGTCTTAAATATTTTGAAATTAACAAAAA